TAGCTCTGATATGGTGGCCTTGTTAAAAGTTGATGAGATTTGCCTTACAATATGCTACAGGAGGGAGAAAATGACAAATTTTCACCACTACCTCCCAAATGGAAAAGGAAAAGAAACTGTAGCCACTGTTGTTTCATATTTTCCTGAGGCCTAAATATATATAAATGCAGAATGGCAACAAATAGAATTGAAACTTTGTTGTGAGTACTAATAAAGCAGAATATTTGTAGCTCAGGGTTGAAATGAGGGATCCTTGCTGCTCTTGCAGACATTTTATTACCCAAACTAGGTAACATCATCAGTTGTTTTAGTATTGTTTATTTGATTGTTGGTCTGATGTTAATCTTGGAGTTAATTTATGGTTCCACAAATACAATCGAAAATATGGATCAGATATGTAGACGACACCTTCACCATATAAAAAAAGGACCAGTTAGAGAACACCCACAGAACCAGCAATAACATTTTTAAAGGAATCCAGTTTACTAGAGAAGAAGAAAACAACAACCCGCTACCCTTCCTGGACATCCTGATCAGCAAATACAACGGCAAACTAGAAATGCAAGTCTACAGAAAAACCATCCATACTAACCAGTTGCTCCACTACCAAAGCAACAACCCAACCTCCCACAAGAGAAGCTGCATAAGGACTTTATTTAAATGAGCCCAAACATACTGCAGCAACCCGGAACAGAAGAAAAAGGAAATGGAGCATCTATGCAACATATTCCAACAAAATAGATATCCACGCAACTTTATCAGAAAGTTCTTGACCACTCAACCCAATAGGCACAACCAACACAAACCCTAAAAGGAATTACACTGCTATAAATCAAGAATATCTCAGAAACCACCAACAGGCAACTACAACTGCATGGAATCAGCCTAGCACACAAGCCAACTAAAATCCTTCAAAATATCCTAAGCAGACCAAAAGACCCAACAGCCCCAGAAGAAAAAACAGGAGTCATCTATAACATGCAATATAAGGACTGCAACAACCACTAAGTAGGACAAACAGGCAGAAGATTGGCAGAACACATCCACGAACACCAGCTAGCAGTCAGAAGACATGATGAAAAGTCTTTAATTTCACAGCATATAGACAGGTTTAACCATAGTTTCAATTGGGAAAATGTGACCATCCTAGACCAAGGCAAGTCCAAAAATGCCAGGGAATTTCTAGAAGCCTGGCACTCTGACAAATCAGCCATCAACAGACATATAGGTGTTAACAACATCCATAGACTATGCAAAAGAGACAATCAACCAGCCCAAAAAGGAACAAAAAGACCCAAGCTACCTCTCCTCCAGCAATCAGCACCCAGATCAGCATAGATTAACTCCAAGTTTAACATCAGACCAACAATCAAGTAAACAATACCCCAATCAAGAAATTGTCAAAGAAGCGAACAGCAAACACCCCAATCAAAGAATCTCTAAGACCACCTTCACTAACGTTGACAGGCAACCCACTGAAATATAAACTGACAGCAAATAGCACTCTTTACCAGCATTGATGATGTTACCTAGTTTGGGTAATGAAACGTCTGCAGGAAAACAAGCAAGCTCAGAGAGCACCAAGGACTCCTTAATTGTGAGCAAACATGCTCATTTACTAGCAATTGTTGGATTCTCTCTTCTCTCTTCTCTCTCCTTTGAAAGTGAAAAATTTTGGTAACAAATCACATCCCATGAGAAAGCACCAAAGCAAAACATTTACCATATAGACAAACACAATGCTACAATTGAGAAAAAAAATATATGCTACCACTATGTTGGAGGAATTGCTGTTCTAACAAGGGCTCAATGCTGGCAAGGAAGAAGGAAAATCCACAACTAAAAAATGAAACACAGATTGCCCTAAAAATGACACATTTGACACACATTCACAGCCGGCCTGTAAGTTGCACTACTGCTCTCTGATGTCCCCCAACCTTTCCTCTTTGTGGACCGGTGGGGGGAAAGGGGATGGGTCCACGTGAGAGGCGGGCATGCCCACGAGCAGCTCCATTTGTGAGAGCACATGCATTTGCCCACTGCCTGCCACTTCCACAGCCTAGTTCTGAAGGGCTCAAGGCCCGGTAGTGGGCCATGGCCCTTGATTTCGGGACCCCTGCACTAATGGTTACCTCTAGGACAATTTGTCTCCACCAGATGTCTACATCCCTTAAAGAAGAGGTCCCCAACCTTTTGGGCACTAGGGACCGGTTCCATGGAGAAAAGTTTTTCCGTGGATTGGAGAGTGCGTGGGTTTGTGTGCTGCCTGCATCCCACAGATGGGGCTTTGCTTGTTTGTGTGGACCAGTTGCTGGACCGGGGTTGAGGACCCCTGCCTTAAAGCTCATTGGTCAAGCAGTTCCTCATTCCTAGCAAATCATTCTCTTTCTTTTTTCTCTCTTGTAGTTAACTGCCTGTTTGCTTGGCTGGCAAATTTTGCTCAATGCTGCAATACTTTTTTTTTATTTAAAGGCATTTGGCCATACAATGGCCAGTGATTGCTTGCATGACATTATTAAATCTAATTCAGGAAATGGGCCAAGTTTCTCTGAATGAAAATACTGTCTTTTTAGATTAGGTCACATTTCCAGGTCGCTTCTCAGGATGGTTTTGGTTTTTTTTGCACCATGCTATTGGGGGGAAAGACAGTGTAAATAAGACAGAGAGGTAAGTTTGAGTCAGCGGTAATGAATTAAAAGAAATAATTCTACATCTCCACCCCACATCACCCCCACAAGTAGGGTCTCCAGTTCCATTTCTGTTTAAGGAAGGAAACCAAGGGTTAGCCTGACTGCTGAGAAAATAAAGAAATCTTTTAATTACATGCTTAACCCAGGTTTCTGCTGCTTGTTCAGGAATAGAAAGTGAATTAATTTAGAAAGTGGATTTATTTAGAAGCAGAACCCTTTGATAATTATTAATTCAAAGATATGATGTTTAACTGTTTGGTAAAGATGCAATAAAATTGATGGGGGAATAAAAGCTGAAAATAGGAGGCAATTATTTTGGGGTGGGGTTACATCCACCATCTCTTGCAGCCTTCTGGTCTACATGCTGTTAAGCAATAAAATCAGGGGTGGGATTCAAATATGTGAACAACTGGTTCTCTGTGTGGATGCTGCTTCCGGAAGTCCATTCTGGGCCTGGGCAACAAAAAATTAGCTACTGGTTCTGCCGAACTGGGCGAACTGGCTGAATCCCACCACTGAATAAAATGCAAGTACTTTCCCAGTACAATCCCTATAGATTACATTTGCATACACCCCTAAAGTTAAGAGCAACTATTAAGAACTATTGCTTGAATGTATGACATGTGCTGGGTGCACCATAAAGTAATAATGTGGTTGTGGGGAAAATAAAAGGAGTATTAAATGTGTTTGCTACCTTGAGTTGTTTATAAAAATAACAAAGGCGGGATATAAATAAAATAAATATAAATAAGAATGCATTACATTACATTAAAACCAATCAGATAAGATCCATATAGAAAATTTCCTGGAATTTCTTGCTAAATTATGGCGTTCCTGGACTTCCTTGTTAGACTGAAGCATTGAATTTGAAACTACTTTCTCCTTTACCCCCACAAATGTTTCTGTAAGAAAACAATAAGCTTAGTTTTCCAAAGTGGAGAGAGAGAGAGAGAGAGAGAGAGAGAGACAGACAGACAGACAGACAGACAGACAGACAGACAGACATGTATATTCATAATAGTTTCCCACAAAAATATAATTTCTATTGGTGAATAGCATATTGGAAATGTGCCCTGAAATATTACATTGGCTTCTCACCATTCCAAATCCATTACAGAATTATTGAAGCAAAGATGTCATAACAATGGCTGAAGTTTCGTATTTGACAATAATCATTGTGCTTTTTGGAAAAAGAAACTAACAATGTGGGGGGGGGGAGAAATGAGGTAAGTATAATTTCCTTCCTTTTCAAACAGCAAAGCGCTGTTCTCCATCAGTGCTTCCTGTTTGTTATTTCGAGTGTGTGTGTGTGTGTGTGTGTGTGTGTGTGTGCGCGTACACATACACACTTACATGCATTATATATAGATACCAATTATTTTATGCTTCACCTGTGGTTTGGTCTTTCCAAATACATGAGACCGCTCAGGCTAGTGTGGGAGTTAATTTAATACATCTAGTCAGAGAAAAGCTGATATAGAGAGTATCCGTATTAGCTGTCTATCCTCTACTTAAAAGAGAGCTGGCAAAAAATAACTCGCTGAGGTTTTGACAAGGTCTTTCTAGTCAACATACTGTAAATACTGACAGAGAGAGGAATCAAAACCCTTCACATAACACGATTATACATGTACACAAACACACACAGACACCGACACACACATGTACATAGACACACAGAGACATCTATAGTCAGGGTTTTTTTTTTACTTCTGGTGACTGTCTGAGTTCCCTGTAGTTTTCTTGGCAATATTTTTCAGAAGTGGCTTGCTATTGCCTGCTTCCTAGGACTGGGAGAGAGTGACTGGCCCAAAGTCACCCAGCAGGCATCATGACTAGAAAAGCTCAGACTCCAGGTTTCTAGCCTTAACCAAACTGGCTCATATATATTAATATATTCATACATGCATACACGCACACACACACACACTCACACTCACATTCAGTAGGATTTATTAAATATGTTTTACAATTTGGGAAAGTAAAATTGAATAAATGGTCTACATTCTGTGACCTAATATCGGAGAGAAATGAAGAGCTGAAAATATAAATCACCTGCATTTTTTTTAAAAAAAAATAAATAACAAAGCTATTGGAGAACTGTTTTAACTCATCATTTCCAAAAACTGTTTGGCTGTTCCATGAGGAGTTAAAGGACAGTTGGGTTGGACTTGAGCAGCTTACAGCCATCGCTCAGATGGCTTTTGCCCCAGTTCACTTTAATCCGATAATGCCATTTGGCTCCTCCAATACTGGAAAAAAATAACGTAGTGGCTTCTTTCAGCTAATATTGTAGTTCCAGTTCTTATCTGCCCCACTGTCCTTTCCTTTTCCTCATGATGTCTACATGGCTTTCAAGTTTAAAACTGCTGAGACAAAGGTAAAGAAAATCAAGCTGGCACTGAACTCAGGGACTCTTATTGTCTCTGACATATGGCAGGTATTTGGAAGAACAATAGCCTTAATTCCAATAAGCTGTTTTGTTAGCCTTGTCAGTCTTTCAAAGTAAAAATGAATTGTGCTGGTGAGAACTATTTATGGGTCTGGTCAACCGTTAGTATTCCATCAGAGAGAATTTGCTTAATATGTAAAGTGAGAGCAATGGGAAGGTGATTTAGAAATGTTTTAATAGCCTAGATATACATTTCTGTAGTATCACCAGCTAACATTTTATTCTGACCAGAATCTGCATAAATCCTTTCAAGCTTCCTCTGCTGGAATAGCCTTGATTATTTCAGGAGAACATTTCCAGAATAAGAAAACTGAGAACTGCGACCTTCAGATTATAAACTCATCTGTGTGTGTGTGTGTGTGTTTCTGAAAAGACTCAAAAGTCTGAGCCTCAGACTCTTGAAACATACTCATTCAAAGAGCAGGAGGAGAGAAAGAAGTGATGTTATACAGGTTAAAGAGAGCTCTTGGATCACATTCAGACCAGAGCATTTGACATCTGGAGAAACAGATTTTCAACATACAGTTATAATGAGTTTGTCCTTTTAATCTTCTACATTTATAAAAACTACGCTTTAAAGCAAACTTCTGCTGTGCTGTGAATTCCAGCTGCTGCTGTCACCACAATTCTGAGCTTAAAGGGTTCCCTCCAAGATAATAAGAGCCTCCTATGATTTTCTCTATTGTTTTACACTATTTTCTACCCAAAGGCGTTCAAACTGTGTGCAATAGACGGAGAAGCAGTGGCTTAGTGCACGAAGCTGTTGATAGTTTATTGAGTAATAGTTTATTGAGTAAAGTGGCATTAGCTGGGTTCCCACAAGATGCTAGGCCAAACCAAGCATATCATATGATGTGTTGAGATATCAAGGCCATAACAGTATATTATTAGATACAGTAATATAGTACAATAATTATTAGAATGACTTTAGCTGAGTTCTCCAGTCAGTTGTAAATTTACACATTCATCATTTGGTCCAAGTGGTTCATTTATTTACTATAATAAGTGTTCATCTACTACATCTACTAAGCAACCTATTACAGGTAATCCTCAACTTACGACCACACAATTGAGCCCCAAACATGTGTTGCTAAGTGAGCAATTTGTTAAGTGAGTTTTGCCCCATTTTATGACTTTTCTTGCCACATTTGTTGTGTGAATCACCGCAGTTGTTAAATTAGTAACTCAGCTATTAAGTGAATCTGTTTTCCCCATTGACTGTGATTGTCAGCAGGTCACAAATCATAACCCCCAGATACCGCAAAGGTCATAAATATGAATCAGTTGCCAAGCATCTGAATATAAGTCTGGTTATCATGGGGATGCTGCAGTGGTCATAAGTGTGAAAAATGGGCATAAGTCACTTTTTCCAGTGCCGTTGTAACTTTAAATGGTCACTAAGTGAACTGTTGTAAGTCAAGGACTGCCTTTAGTAGGACAACCAGCTTATGTTACTGTGCCAACAGCTGAGAAGAATCTTACCCCAATTCTTTTCTTCATCCAAAATTAAGAAAGCAGGAATTCCAATTCTTGAAGCAAAAGATTAAGTTGATCCCCTTATATATATATATATATATATATATATATATATATTTCATATAGTTATGGCTTTCTTTTTTCAGAAGGCATTTAGAAAGTATAAATTTTGCATTAGAACAGAATTCTGTGGCTTGAGAGTTCCTGACAGGAGGTCACAATTAAAAGAGAACAATAAACTGAGAATAATAAAACAATAAAATGGAAAGAGGCTAAACTTGAGCCACTTAAAACTCATTCCTGGCTTTGCTCCCTGCTCTGCTTGCACTAACCATGAAGTCTGAGAATTCCTGAGATTATATTAACATTTAATCGTTAAAATAAAGTGGCACATTTATTCCTTGCCCAATCCTAACCTCAGTCAGCAATTTATTAATTCTATTCAAGAGGGAATGTGGTATTTCCCGCACATTCACACATTTTTTTTTTATTTTAGGGCCTGCAATAGCACAAAGCGAAAACACCCCTAGGTGTAGCTAGTATTTCTTTGCTTTTGCTATGCTTTCATATTTTTTTTGTAATGTTTCTTATTAGCTGCTGTGAATGGAATAAAAGAACTTAGACAGCATTTATGTAAAAGAATAAAATAATCAGAAATCTATAGCTTACTATAAGGGCACCTTTAAACTAGGTTAAAACTACATATCCCTTTGGGGCAATATTATAATATAAACTTGATTTAATAGACCATTTGGTTACTGGTACCAAATGTCCATTGACTCTATATTTATAGCATTTGCGCCAATTTATGTCATTTTTGTAAATTGATCCAAATGATGTCAATTATATCAATTTGTATATTTATATCAGAATACAAATTATATGTACTGATGTAAATAACATAAATTTAAAAAAAATCATTTGGACTACTGTATTTCAGACATAACCAACTTAATCTGTTATTTCAAAGAATGTCCAGATGCAAATACAGGTAGTTCTCACTTATCAATTGCCTTATTTAGTGACCATTCAGAGTAATGACTGAAAAAAACAACATCTTTGCAACCAATCCTCACGTCCATGGGAGCATTCTCTGGTCACATAATCACTATCTGGAAATTTCACAACTGGCTCTCAACAAGCCGAATTATGGCAGTCAGGTGATGTCCCACTTAACAACCGCACTGAGACCTCCATCTTAACAGAAGAAATGAAGCGATGTCATAAGCCCAACACAGTCATGCGATTTTTCGCTTAGTGACCATGGTGCTTAGCAACGGAGTTGCCAGCCCCAATTTTGGTTGCTAAGCAAGAGCTACCTCTCTTCTCTCTTAAAGCCAGGTTAATAGGCTTTCATTAAACTGAGATTTATGGCGACTTCATTTTTTTTCTTTTTACGTTCAGCAAATATGAAGTGCATCTTTTTTATATTTTTCCACATAGGACATTTTCCCTTCCCCTGCCTTTTGCAGGTATTAGTCATAACAAACATCTGCTTAGTAGTTCCTTACTATCCCCCCCCTTTTTTTTTTTTGCTAAAAACCCAGAACTTTCCATTTATGTTTCTTCTTTAATAATAGCCAAGAGTTGGTTTTTTTGTTTTTTTTTGCCTTATATGAATTGCAGCTGCTTCATTTGCCTTCCCAGATCTGACCTTGTCATAGAAGTATTCCCAGATTCTGCCAATGTCACTTTCCATTTGAGCGGCTTTCACTGGGACCCCAGAGCTTAAGAAGTGGCAACTCTTTAGGCCTGGAATGCCCTGCCTTTGTTTTAAGGTTTTAAACACCATCTTTTCTTCATTGCATTTCTATTATTTTTTCCCCCCTCTTTGGAGCCTAGAAGGAACCTGCTCATTTTCGATTATATTTCCAACTCTGTGCTCCCATCAATATTTCATTACTGCTACATGATAATTTTTACGGAAGTTCCAATGAATCGTTTTGGTGACTGTGTTATTATTATTAAACCTAAGAAAAGAGGTGCTGCTAGATTTGTGCATATATAAGTTCCAAAGCATCTTTTTGCTTTTAAATCTGAAATGCAGCACAGCACTGCATGTTGTGTCCATGTGCTTATATTTTTCTCTCTATAAGTATACATCAATATGCAGGCACACATTTTTATTATTTCTTTTGTTCCTTCTTCCATTGCTTCTTCCTTTCCTTAGTTCATTTTTATTTTTAAATGGCAATTTGCATGGTTTTGTTTTCTCATTTAAAAAGTCACTAAAAACAAGAGGGAGAGGGGAAGAGAAAAACTCATGGTTTCTAAGACATGACAAAGATAAAAAGAATTGTTATTATATTATTTATTTATTTATTTGTCACATTTGCATATCTGCCCATCTTACGTAGTGATTCTAAATTTGGGGAGAAACTAAACAAAACAAATGCCATACTCAATATTTCTGTTCAAAACAGCTCTTTTATAGAAGAAGGTAACATGTTTTTTTTTTAAAGAAAAACATTGTTAATGTGGCTTCCAGGTAGGGCTCTATGTTGGGTTAAATATGAATTAAGAAAACTTTAAACCGATAAAGGAGACAATCATTTTAAAAAACAAGATTTTTTTTTCTTTGATGAAAATGCCTTTGAGAATGGTAAAATTAACTAGATAAACAGGCCAAACGTTTGGGGAAATGTTGGTTTTTTTTATTATTAAGGAAAGCAGGTAACTGATGGATTTTTACACAATACGAAGATAAGGATAAAACAAGCCAGACAGTGTGAGTGCAGTTACAGAGAGATAATTGGGAGGAAAGTATTAAAAATAGAAAAAAGGGAAAAAAGAGAAAAGTTTGCCCTTTACTTTCATCCTAGCAATGGTTATACTCTCACTTTTAAGTCATAATTATTACAACCCCAATCACAAGAAAAGCAGCAAAAATAGGAGATGGAAGGAGAAGTACACTGGAATAATTTATAGACAAGGGCATCATGCCAGACTTATTGCAGAAAATGTTTGAGGAATTTGACAAGAAGATGACTGAAACAGTTGCCAATGGTTTGGATACTTTTAAAAAGGAAATGGAAGAAGGATTTGCAGAGATAAAAAAGGGTATGAAAGAACTATTAAAAAAAGATGGGAGATCGAAGAATTGAGAAGATTGCAGAGTAGGACAAGTGGCTGAAGATATAAAACAAATTAATGAAAAAGTGGAAATATTGGAAAGCAAGACAGAAGTTATAAACAGAGATATGGAGAAAAATTTGGATAACTTGGCATTACTGGAACTGAAAGAAAAAGTATTTTAAGGATGGAAGACTGAGTCAATCTTGAGCCCAGTCAGGATTGAACTCCAAGCTGTGGGCAGAGTTTGCCTGCAATACTGCATTCTATCCATTGCGCCACCAGGATACCTCAAAAGAGGGAAAAAAAACTTTATTTGAAAATGTTAGAACAAGGTATGATTTGCCTATATCCAACTATATCCAAAACTTGTATTGTTGGACGATTATGGAAGATACGTTGGGTTGGAAGTTAACTTACAGGGGGCTACGACTTTGATA